ACATACATACATACATACACACATACATACATACACACATACTTACACACATACATACATACATACATACATACATGCATTCATACATATACATACATAAGTATACATATACATACATATACATACATATACAAACATATACATACATATACATATACATATATATACATATACATATACACATACATACATACACACATACATACATACATACACACGTACATACACACACACACATACGGACAGTCTCTCCTCAGTGTGCCTTTTTTTTGCGTTTTTGCTGTGCAGCGCAGTACCAGTAGACTCATTTTGGAATAACTAAGAATGTTACCAGTTGCATATCCAGATATTATAAAATACTGCTGATCCAGATGCTCCATTTTTATAGCATAAAAATTTGAGGGTAACTTATCTGGATTTATGTTAATTTTTCCAATGTGATTGGTTAGTTTATCAAAATTAGGAGATATAGTAGTACAGTTTTCACGTATTCCTGCTTCATCAGCACATCGCTGCATAAAATGCTTCTTAATCAAAAATTCAGTCGTCCTAGTGGCTTTTTTAAGGCACCCATCAACATAGGTGGTAATTTTCGGTTTTCTGGTTTTTTTAGGAAAAAAATTTTGGCAAAACATTCCCAGTTGGTGAGGATAGCTATTTGGAAAATCTCCTTCGGACACTTAGTTCACTCTGTGAACATTGCTTACCATCCGTTCTTGCAACGCTAATTCACTGGTACAAAAAGCAGCTGAAGCTAATCGAGGAATCCGGGTGAGCGCTTCACTTTTTTACATAATCTCGTAATTTCATCCTTACCCAACACTGCTATGAAAAAGAAAATGTTTCGAACCTCAGTTTTGCGTATGTATTGACGTAACTTTCCGCAGAGGCTTTGAGGTTGATTTTTTTACCGCTTTGGGAGCTGAGGTAAATCATTTTACCAGTTTGGGAGCCGAGGTAAATCTTTTTATCAGTTCGGAAGCCGAGGTAAATCTTTTTACCAGTTTGGGAGCCGAGGTAAATATTTTTACCAGTTTGGGAACCGAGGTAAATCTTTTTACCAGTTTGGGAGCCGAGGCAAATCTTTTTACCAGTTTGGGAGCCGAGGTAAATCTTTTTACCAGTTTGGGAGCCGAGGTAAATCTTTTTACTAGTTTGGAAGCCGAGGTAAATCAGTTTACAAGTTTGGGAGCCGAGGTAAATTTTTTTACCAGTTTAGAAGCCGAGGTAAATCTTTTTACCGTTTTGAGGGCCGAGGTAAATCTTATTACCAGTTTGAGTTTGGGAGCCGAGGTAAATCTTTTTACCAGTTTTTTGGCAAGGCTTAGCGCCTAGGAGTTGTATTTGATGTGTTTTTTGGATATCGCCATCTTGTTCTGAAGGTTGCCAAAGTTAGATCACGATAAGATGGTACTAGTTGGGAGGCTATATAAGGAATAAAAGAAACAGTCCGATTTATCCATCTGTTATCTCTCATTCTTGCCGCATTCGTCAGCGCAGCGCTTTTTTTCTGGGATTTTGCGTTGATGTCAGTTTTTAATGATGGAAATTATCGGATTTTATTGGGATTGGTGATGGATTTGCAGCGAAGGAATGGATGATAAACGTCTGGTGCTGAATTATATCTTTTGCACTGCTTTGAACGAAGTTTTACCGCAACTTCATTTTTTTCCAACCGTTTGCGATGATTCGGTCTCCTATCTTGTGACACTTGCATTCAAGGAAGTGGCCTACACCGATCAGTATGTTTCATCGTTTTTTACTGTTTTTAAAGCAAAATTTTTCTTGTATTTTTAGATTTTGCAATTTTTTTTCATATTTTTTGTTTTTTTTGTTTGTAAGTTTTCGCGAAATCGGGAAACTTTATGCTTGAAAAGACGTTTATTCATCATTTTCTTGTTTCTAAGTTCTAATTTATCATGAAAATGTATATATCAGGAAATTTTTGAATAATTATCTATGTGGTAGGAAAAAATTAAGGGTGTTGGGGTGAAAAAAAAATTGATCA